AAATTAAAATAATCAAAGTATAAAAATAGAAGTATCAATTACCAAAAAAATATTTAGGTGGAGAGTTAGTGGCTTAGCTAACTGTGATGGAAAATTCCATCGACTTTTCAGATTTAAGCTTCCTGTATGTTTTTAATTTAAAAGGTTTAAACAAATTTGTTTAGTCTAAATGCTTATGTTTCTAGTCTTTTCTCAAAGAGATCACAATTCAAATTCCATCACTTATGTATTTTCCTATAAATAAGAAAATAATAAATGACTGTAAAGACGAATCTCCCTTCCTACTTTTTCTATGGATGCAAGGATTTTGTAATGGGGGAAGCACCTTTCCCATTTCACTCTTATATTAGGTGTAGCGAAAGTAACCCGGTGGTTGAGTATTTAGTGGGTCGGACACTATTTGGGCCCGTTTACATTAGTAGCACATTTTCCATTTGCGTTGGGCAACCAACAACACTCAATCTTTCCATATTTATCCCTCCAAAAATTGCTCTGGCTTAATAATTGAGGTAGTGGAGGTTAGCCGTTTGTTGAGTCTGATGAGAAGTTTGGAGAGACGGTGATGGTTGAGCGTTTAGTGGGATGGAGCACTATTTGAGCCCGTTTACATTAGTAGTGTCTTTTACATCCGTGTTTGGCAAACCAACATCACTCAACCTTTCCATATTTACCCCTCTCTTAAAGACACGTGTGTCTCATATTCACTTAAAAGTTCTGTGTTTAAAAATATCGTTACTTTAAGATAGTTAGAACAATTAAGTCTACGTTAAGAATTTTACATCACTTCTACACATTCAAGAGTGCAATTTGATATGCAATATTTGAGTGAATGACATTTCAGTTGCGAAACATGGTGGAAAGGTCCTATATTTTTCATCTACATGGACTGGTGTGGGTTTGATCTCATGAAGAGAATGAAATTGAAGTGGACGAAGAAGAGTTGAAGTTTGATAGTCATGAGAGTAAGGAGACCCCTTATTGGTTCAAGGAAATTATTGCAACAGGGTAAGTAGAGATTATGTTTAGGAACAAAAGGCAACGCGATTTACTAATGAGCTTCTCTATTTTGTAGTGACCATGAAATTCTAACAGTATGTTGGTTGCTTTCGTAGAGGAGAAGAGATTGGTTTGGGAAAGGTTAGGTGCAAAGTCCGTGGAAAGACAAGATTGATAAACCGGGGAGCTGAATATCTCTCTGCCTTTCCTTGTGGGCTCATCTTTGGGATAGTAGTGGTAACCTATTTAACTATCATATATGACCTTTTCTGTTCTACTACAATCAAGAGCTATCCTTGTTTACTCTTTTATCTTGCTCTTCTTCTACTCTCGTTCAAGGTTTTGCGGTCTTGGAAACATAATATAACACCCTTCAAATCATAGTAAGTCTTCATCTTTTCATGGTTTTGGCCAGTTTAGTTATCCCGACAAGGTTAATTTGGCTGGTGAGCTGAAGAATATTACTAGATAAAGATTATTTAGGGGCTTCAATTGAGTTATGGTCTTCATCTCATGTGAATGATATTTCCTTTGAACGAGTTAGTGCTCGCTTGATATATTTGCTGATTCTTCCAGACTGTACACCACATTATGTAGCTAACATCCGGAGCAAGAGATTGGAGAATTGCGAGCTAGCAATTGGGAGCTAGTTGTTGTGGTTTGGTTTGATGAAGAGAGTTCCAGTAGCTTTCCTACTAGTGTGTTTTTGTTGTTATCTTCTTGGGTTTTCTTGTTTTCAACTGTTCTTCAGCCTTGGGGACAAAGCTATTTTGATGGGGAGGGTAGTTGTAATAAACGGGAATGTGATGCAAACTCGTTAAGAATAGGGATTGGAATGTAATTGAGTAACAAGTATAAATATAGCCCTCCTGTATTGAACTGAATATCGAACACAGTAAACATAATTTCCTTCCTTCCTCTGCTCTGTCTCTATTCTTCTCCTACTTCTGCCTTCCTTGTTCTTCTCTTCTCTTTATGAATCACTCCATCTGCAGATGTTCCTCCTTATCTCTATTGCTTCCATCAATTCATCTCTTCACTACTTTCAATAGCCGAGAACTGGTACAAAACAAGATCGGGACATCAAAAAGAGAGAGAGAGAGATCACAAAATCACTGTATAAGTCAACTAGATCATCTTCTTTTCTTCCCATCCTGATATCATCACCGGCATCTGATGACCGTCGTCCCCGTCAATCCATTGCCTCTTTATCCTTCCTCATGTCCTCTGACGGAAAAGGTTATCTTGTTCGCTCTCTCTATCTCTGTCTCTCTCAGCTCCAACTAGGTTATGGATTCAAATGATTCTTTTTGGTTTGTTGTTGCTCTGAAGAATAAATTGGTAGATCTCAAAAGCAAACAAGAAGATAAGAGTGGCTAATCTTATTGAGGATAAAGGTAATTTATCTACAGAAATAAGTTCATTCAGGTTGTAATAATTGGATTCATCTGTAAGTTGTGTAAAACCTACGGAGTGATAGTTATCTCTTATGTGTCACATAAACAAACATATGACGTACGTACTTCGTAATGATTCAGACAAAACGTAAAGTTAATGGGAGTATCTTAGCCTAATAATTTTTTAAATTATTGGTTTAAACTAAATCACTAAATAAGCTAATGAAAGTTATTTTTACATATTATGGAAGGATTATGTAACAAAGTTTTATGATAATCACATAAACTAAAAATACATTAGGTAAAACTTATGAGGAGAAATTTGTTTCTTATGTATCAAGTAAAAAAATGTATTACATATGTTTTCTCAAATGATTAAAACACTATGTAAAGCTTACTGAAATATAATTATTTCTTATGAATCAATAAAAAAAACATCTGTAAGTTGTGTAAAACTTATAGAGTAGTAATTATTTCTTAAGTATCACTTAAATAAATGTATGGCATATGTCTTTTGTAATAATTTTATAAATTATTTGCTTTCAACTATGAGAAATATCAAAGATAAAAACACGAACACAACGATTTACGTGGTATCCTTGCTCTAGTGAGCAAGACTAATCCACGGAAGACTCTCTCAAGGAGTCTTCGGCTTAGGTTTTATTAGGGTTCTGCAGAATGATGATGCTGTGCAGCAGCTTACAAGATAATATATACTAGTTGGCAATCCCTTACATCACGTAACCGGGAATGTCAAATAGCTAGCATAGTCCTCAAACAAAATAAAAAGGACACTTGGACAGGTCGGGTACATACACAACAAAGCAACTAGTACGTACTCCGCAACACGCCCCCTCAAGCGCAGGCGTGAATATCATGCAGGCCAAGCTTGGAGGTCAGAAAACTGAGATGCTCCGCACCTAACCCTTTGGTGAACATATCAGCAAATTGATCACGGGAGGATATCTTCTGAGGAGCTATCTCGCCAGAAGTCACTCGTTCACGAACAAAATAGCAGTCCATCTCGACATGCTTTGTTCGCTCATGAAATACTGGATTGGCAGCAATATGAAGAGCTGCCTGGTTATCACAATGCAGCGTAGTCGGAGATGAGTTGGTCACACCCAACTCACTAAGTAACCAGCGAAGCCAGACGAGTTCACTAACAGTACTAGCCATGGCTCTATACTCAGCTTCAGCTGATGAACGTGCAACAACAGGCTGCTTCTTGGTACGCCAAGAAATAGGACTGTTTCCCAGCTGAATGAAGTACCCAGTAGTAGAGCGACGGGTACGCTGACAGCCTCCCCAGTCAGCATCGCAGTAGGTTGTCAACACAAGTTCTCCAGTCGTTGACAACCGCAAGCCGCGCCCATGTGCACCTTTAAGATAGCGCAACACTCGATAAGCAGCATCTTCGTGTTCCTGACGAGGAGAGTGAACTGCCTGACTCAAGATGTTTACGGCATAGACGATGTCTGGACGTGTCACAGTTAAGTACTGCAGACGTCCAACAAGACGACGAAAACCCGAAGGATCTTTAGCTGCAGGACCTTTGATGCGAGTAAGATGATGATTTTGTTCAATAGGAAAGGCACACGGTTTAGCAGCCAGGACTCCAGCGTCCTTCAAAATATCTAACGTGTACTTCCTTTGGGACAATACTATCCCAGTCCGAGATCGTGCCACCTCGATCCCCAGAAAATATTTCAGAACACCTAGGTCTTTAATGCTGAACTACTCCTGTAAGAAGTCTTTGACACGCTGAATGGTGGGTAGATCATCACCACCCAGAATAATGTCGTCCACATAAATAAGAGCAAAAGTGAAAACTCCATTGCGCCGATATATAAACAACGAATGATCAGCTTTAGATGGTTGAAACCCGAACTGTTGTAGCGACTGAGTGAACTTCATGTACCAGTTGCGGGATGCCTGTTTCAACCCGTAAAGGGATTTGGGAAGACGACAGACTCGGTTGTCCCCCGGTCGAGCAAATCCCGGTGGAAGCTTCATGTAAACCTCTTCCTGCAGATCACCGTGCAGGAAAGCATTATTAACATCGAGCTGGTGGAGATGCCATCCACGATGAACTGCCACAGCGAGAACAGTGCGAACGGTCACAAGTTTGGCAACAGGAGCAAATGTATCATGATAGTCCACACCCTCGACCTGCGTAAAACCTTTAGCCACTAACCGCGCTTTGTAGCGCTCATCAGTTCCATCAGGACGAAACTTGATTTTATAAACCCATTTCGAAGCGATGGCCTTTTTACCGGGAGGGAGATCCTGTAGATCCCATGTCCCATTGGCTTCCAAAGCAGCAATTTCGCGCTGCATGGCTTCACGCCAACAAGCAAACTTAACCGCATCATGAAAGAATGTCGGTTCCACCATTGCATCCACCGCTGCCACAAAAACACGATGATTAGGGGAAAGGCGCTCAACGTAACATAGGCAGACAACGGATATTTAGCAGTAGTGGTAGTATGAGAGGAGGGAAGATAAGTATCATAACCTCGCAGGTGAACAGAGGGCTGCCGCACCCGATTACTACGTCGGGGAGGTTCGACAGGGGCTGCGGGAGCTGTGGGAGAGCTGGCCGGGATGGAAGGAGGTGAAGGCCCAGCAGGGGACCCCATGTCTTGCTCGGGTGACGAGGACGGAAGGGAGCTAGGCGAGGTGTCTCCCGCGTCGGGAGTACAGGGCGACGAGGAGGAGGAACTGGGGGAGTCCGGCGCACCATTCTCTGGAAGATCCGTAGGAGGAGGCTCGGGCTCTGCAGAGAAGAGGACCCCCTCGTCGTCATCTGGAACAGTAAGCGGAGCAGGGAGGAACCGCGGGACAGGCACCGTGCCAGCAAGCTTTTGGAAGGGAAGAACAGTCTCGTCAAAGACCACATCACGGGATGTGAAAATGCGCCGAGTAGAGAGCTCATAGACACGATAGCCTTTTTGGGATGATGGATAACCGAGGAACACGCACGGCCGGCCCCGCTCTGCGAACTTGTCCAAGTGGTGGTGCGTGTCCTTCGCGTAAGCTAGGCAACCAAACGTACGAAGGTGGGAATAAGATGGACGCTTTCCAAACAACCTTTCGTAGGGGGTTTGCTCTCCCAAAGTACTGTGAGGGAGGCTATTAATCAAGTAACCGGCGGTAAGAACACACTCCCCACAAAACTTCTTGGGTAGGTTAGCATGGAATTGCAGAGCTCGAGCAGTGTCCAGAATATGTCGATGTTTGCGTTCGACAATCCCATTTTGCTGGGGAGTATCAACACAAGAAGTTTGGAGCTGAATCCCTTCACTGGCATAGAAATCGAGCAAATCATGGGACTGAAATTCAGTACCATTGTCAGTCTGGATGATTTTGACAAGAGCATCAAACTGTCGAGCAGCTTGGCGCATGAAAAATTTCAAGAACCGGGCTGCCTCGGACTTGAACTTAAGAAGATAAATCCAAACACCACGTGTATAATCGTCAACAATAGTGAGGAAGTACTGAGCACCACTCAAAGAAGGAACCTTATAACCGCCCCAAATATCAATATGAATCAATTCCAAAGGTCGAGTACTGCGAATAGAACTAGAAGGAAAAACCAAACGAGTTTGCTTTGCTCGTAAACAAGATGAGCAAAGGGTCTTATTCGTCCTACGAGTGCTTGGTATTAAATGCAATAAATCGAGTTTCTTAGGCGACGGGTGACCCAAGCGAGAATGCCATAGCTCTGCAGAGACTACCCGCTGCGTGGCATGGGCCATCTCGCGGCGAACACCATCAAAGAGCCGCAAGTAGTAGAGGCCATCAGTCTGTGTCCCCGTCCCAATAATCATCTTCGAGTTCAAGTCCTGTATCACACAGAAGTCGCGAAGAAAGATCAAAGCCAGGGAAAAGTCCCGAGTAAGCTGACTACCAGAGAGAAGATTGCATTTAAATTCCGGAACCAAAAGCACTCGCGGCAAGACCATTCCGTTGGACAACCGAACGGAACCAATATGACGAACATCAATGGACGACCCATCAGGAAGCCGAACTTGCAATCCTGGTTCGATCCGTGAGCCGGAGACTAGACCCGAATTGTTCACAATGTGCTCATTGCAGCCGGTATCAATTAACCATTCATCAGAAGAAAGTGAATGATGTGTCGAATTACCTGTGGTATTGTTCGCTGGCCGGGCCGCGGACTTCGGGTCTCCACCAAACAAGGTTTTCAGTTGTTCAAATTGAGAAGCAGAGAGACCAGGAATGGGGCTGTCACGAACCCCAACCTGAGCAACGCGGGGAGTGCCTTTGCCGCGATCGCCCCCTTTGCGGCGGCCACTCTTGTCACCTTTGTCTGTGCCACGTTCGGGATAGCCAACAAGTTGAAAGCAGCGATCCTTTGTGTGGCCAGATTTGCCACAGTGATCGCAAACATAACGAGGCTTAGTAGACTCAGCAGGCCGGTCGGTAGTCCCACGCGAAGAGGTAGGGCGAGCATCCTGGGCATGGAATGCAGCAGCTTCGGGGGTTGGACGACGAGCCTGAGCAATCTTTCGCTGATGTTCATCGTTGCTCACGAGCTGGTAAGCCTCGGCCAGACAAGGAATAGGACGCATAGCCAAAATCTGCGTCTTTACAGTAGAAAAAGCATCATCAAAGCCCATCAAAAAATCGAAGAGCTGTTCACTGTTCTTGATCGCACGATACTGACGTTTGACGTCACAGGTACAGCCTCCACAAGAGCATTCTGGTGCTGGCGCAATTGACTGGATTTCGTCCCAATAGCCACGCAGTTTGGTGTAGAAGCTAGAGACACTAGTTTTCTCTTGCTGAAGCATGACAATCGTTCGCCGCAGCTCATACAGCCGGGGCGGGGCACCATGCCCGAACCGCGCTTCCAGATCGACCCAGATGTCACGAGCAGTGCTGGCGAAACGAACACTGGAACGTAGCTCCTTGCTCATGGTAGTCTTTAACCAGCCTTTGACCATTGCGTCACACCGTTTCCATTGATCCCGAAGAGGGCCTTCCTTAGGCTTACCAATGGAACCATCAACGAATCCCAATTTATTCTTAGCAATAAAAGAATCAGTAATATCACCAAGCCATTCACCATAGTTCACATCAGTAAGTAACTCGCCAACAAATAATTGATTAGGGCTGTCCGAATTGTGAAGAATGAACGCCGGAGGGAAATCATCGCTGCCAACTGACACAGCGCCCATCGTCGACGTCTCGGAAGCATGAGATTTCATCTTCTCATCGTCGGAACCCATAACGCCAAAGGGGATGCCGTGATCTTGTCACAGTTCTGATACCATGAGAAATATCAAAGATAAAAACACGAACACAACGATTTACGTGGTATCCTTGCTCTAGTGAGCAAGACTAATCCACGGAAGACTCTCTCAAGGAGTCTTCGGCTTAGGTTTTATTAGGGTTCTGCAGAATGATGATGCTGCGGCAGCAGCTTACAAGATAATATATACTAGTTGGCAATCCCTTACATCACGTAACTGGGAATGTCAAATAGCTAGCATAGTCCTCAAACAAAATAAAAAGGACACTTGGACAGGTCGGGTACGTACACAACAAAGCAACTAGTACGTACTCCGCAACAAACTATCTCACCAAATAAGCTAATGAAATTTTAAACATAATTAAATTCTCGGTGCTGTGAAGGACGGGCAAAAAATATTCGTAATAATTCAGACACTAGGTAAAGTTAATGGAAATATCTTATCAGAATAGTTTTGTAAATTATTGAATTTCAACTAAGTTAGTAAATAAGTTAATTAAATTTCAAATATAATTTAATTCTTACCGCTGCAATAATCAAGAGGACAAAGAATTACTAATATAATACCGACCGAACAGCTTGTACATAAGTTTTGACCCATGTAATACAATGTAGCCTTACAAACGATCGTCGTATGGAATACCAGTAGCCGGGATCCACCTATCTCCCTGAATGAACTTGGTCGGCAAGAACCGCGCCGCCTCATTGGGGTCCGTAAGCGCATGAACCCCACCCCACTTGACTCTTTTCCACGGCTGCGCCCCGGGTCCTCTATCCCTGTACTCCGCATAGTACACCGTGTCCAGGTAGCGGTTGTTCCACCCGGACCACCCTTCCGCCGCCACCACGTGTCCCAGCCTCGTCTCCACGAACACCGTCCTCGCGTACTGCTTCCACGGCCGCCCCAGGTACGTCACCGGCGCCCCGGGCTCCCCCCACACGCTGCAGCGGTGGAACGAGAACCCGGTCGGCTCGTCCCGGTTCATCCGGCTGCTCGCCGCGATCACGTTACCCACGGCCCGCCGCCTCGACACGATGTCGCATCTCTGAAACACGGCAGCCGCGTTGCCGAAGATGAAGTCCACGGTCCCGCTGATCCGGCACTCCCTGTAGAACTGCCGCTTGCTGATGGCGAACAGTGTGTCTTGGTTGCCTTTGATCTCGCATCGGTAGAACGCAGAGAAGTCCGACCCGGCCCGGACTGCTACGGCCTGCCCCGCTGAGGCCCCCGCTGTGTTCTCGATGGTTAGGCCGATTGCTATGAACCCTGGACCGTCCACCGCTGCATGGGAAAGCAATACCATGTACGTACAGCTCGTTATTTGGAAGAATGGAAAAGGAGTCGATGAACATAATAATTTGATTCCAACAATCACTGATAAAATTATCTAAAAAGAAATATTGGTTCTTAATCGATGAACTTAATGGTATTGCATAGAAAAGTACGCTTGTCATAAAAGATTTCTAACTTGGTAGCAACAACAAACACAACAACAAAACGATATCAAAGGAGGTCGAAAATTTTTGGCGTGTGCTCTGTCAAGAAATTTCACTCATATTCATATATATAGGATGGCATATCTGAATGTATGGAGCAATTAGCATCCTATGCACAAAGTAAAAAGAATTTACTCTCCGGCACTAAATGCAAATTAAATTTCGAAAAAAAAAACATATCTAAAAAGGGATATTTGGATTTTAATTTTACTACTTACTCTATCAGTATTATAATTAATTACGGTGACATGTGCCGAGCTGTCAATTACATTGTAGCATTGTAACGTCTAATGTTAATTAGACTAAAACTAGTAAGCTATTTAGTGGCCAAATAATGATGAAGATTCAAAAAAAGATAAGTGCTAGAATGGAATTTGTCATTTGTATTAGATAGAAATTAATGAAAAAAGATAGAAGTCAACTTTCCAGGTAATAGACTAATAAATCAATATACCGAACTGAATACGCACGCACGCACGCACCTAGTGTTGCGGAATTGAAAGTGCTGTATCCGGAGTAATTGCTACGATCGCCGGTGATGATTGTCCGGCCTATCCCTTCGCCGACCAAAACGACGTTGTGTTTCCTATAGTCAACCTTGAGGTACTCGTGATATGTTCCTTGCTTAACATGGATGACGTAATGAAGGGCAGTGTTACCGTCCGGGGCAGACGACAGCGCGTCGGCGATGCTCCGGAAATCTCCCGACCCATCTTGAGCCACTGTCACGTTGCATGCCGCAAAAGGGTTCCCTCCAGCTGCTAACTTGGCCAGTTTGGGTGGGAAATTATGCTGTAGGCGGCTCGCCATTGATACAAGCCCATGCGTCAGCAACTCGGCTCCACCCAGATATCTCCTTGCTGCCACCAATTCCTCGGTGCCGTTCGCGTACGGCCCTGCAGGTAACTCTTCTTGGCAGATGTTTTGATGGGTCAATGCAGCGCTCAGCCGCGTTCTTAAGTCGCTCGCATGCCCTTCATCACTACTACCACCGGAGGCCAAGTCTTGTAAGGCTGCAAGGCACCATCTGAGGTCCGACAGTGTCAAGTCGAGCAAATAACGGCACGACGAATCTGTGGTCAAATTGGACAAGGCGGCATCCGTTCGGTGGATTGCGGACTTCAATGCAGCTCTCAAGTTTAGGAGGTGGGAGCTGCTGCTCACAGTAGTAGCAGGGAATGCTGTGATCAGCAGTGAAATGGAAATGCACAACACTGCCAACAGATTCACCATCGTGGAACAAGAAGAAGCCATCGATCGATAGCCTCACTATTATATATATGTGGACCGGATGTGTGATTCATTGCTTGTTTGGTATATATATGTGTTTATATTTATCACGAAACGAAACCACTAGCTCTTAGAAAGTTAGAATCATTTGCAGGATTACTTAATCAATTGAAATTGTTTGCGTTAATGATGAGGATACCATTTACATATCATCTGCCTACTGAGAAGTAAGTGTTGGCACCTGGGAATATCAAGTTATTGATTGGGGCTAATACATGTTTTACCGAGTTGGGAGATGCGCACCAATGCGCCTTTCGACTGTTTCCTTTTTTTTCCCCCTATTCATATTAAGGTGTCTTCAGTACGCGCGAACTCCGTGCAATGTTAATTTGTCATTTATTATGTTTTTAATAAATTATTGCTACGTGGCGAATTAAGTGAGCAGGTGATACTAGCAACAAAGGAAGGAAGAAGAGAACCCTAAGACAATCACTATGTGTGAAGTTTACCATTCAGGGCTACGTACTACTAAAGGAATGAAATCAGTTATAAACTTATTATCAAAGGAGGTAATACATTCCAAGTTCAAAAGAGGTTAAAATCTGAATATATGTTCACCGGTTAATTGCATGGTGGTTGGTCACTGAAAATATTTAAATCCAATCTTATTACATAAGTTAATTAGAGTAAATACTATGTTTTAGCCAAACATTTTCCCCATTCCATAATATTAGCCAAAACTATCGTAATACTAATTATTAGACAAACGTTATTAGCATTAATTTCGTCACCACTAATTCTTTGTTAACGGTGGTCCAACTCATCAAAAACTTCAGCTTCCACGTCTGATATCATTAAAATTTTGTCTTTTATTATTTTTTGCTTTTAATTTTTAATTCTTCCTCTACTCTTTAAAACCAAGAAAGGGATGTTGCTGGAAATACTCTTGCGGTGACAATCGATTTCTGCCCTCGTTGTCGCCGTAGTTGAGCATCATCGCCTCCGTAGTTGTGCATCGTCGCCGCCGTCGTTCAGCCTCGCCCAACCGTCGTTGAGCTTAGACGCAGTCGCCTCTTCCCTTGGGCATCTGTAAGGTAAGGTGTATTAACCCTTCCCTTTACCAGTTTGTCGGTGTTGCGAAATCCGAATGGAATGATGGAATGAAGCGGATTGTTTCCTCTGTTTTCATTGATAGCAATAAAAATCATGTGTGCTAGGAAGAGCTTTTCAAGGGAGGGCTCTGCAAGGGAGGGTTCTTCTAGTTCGGCAAACACAAATCACGATTTAGCACCTCTATGTGAGCATAAAGTCCCTTCCATTGCGAACAAGTCTGGTACCTTTAGGAATCCAAGAAGACAGTTTTATTTTTGTCCCTATTGGAAGGTATTGTATTTGGGTACTTTGTTGGTTGTTTGTTTACCTAAATTCCAAATCTTAAGTGCAAGCATTCTGTTGGTGGATCTATATCAACTGTACCTCAGGAATGGATCATTTCATTATGCCAACGAAGATGAGAAGGTTGACTTTAAAGCAAAACTTATTGAATCGGAATAAATGAATAGGAAGTTGTTAGAAGAGTTGAACATAATCAGAAAAGATCATGCAAAGACAATGTCAGAGCTTGGTAGCCTTGAGAGTAGGAACTCGAACTTGATATTTTGTGTAATTTGTGTCATAGCTTTTACTGCAGTTTGTAGGTTTCAGGGTGTTTGATTGTTGTCCCAAATTGTGAATGTTGTTAATTTGATGTATTGCATGATCGTGTGGTGTCAACTTTATTATTGCATTTCACAACTAGTATGAAGACTGTTATGTACCATTCGTACAAGTGACCATTTCCAACTAATGTAATCCCTGTTATATAATTGTGTAATTGACCATTGTTAGTTAGACAATGCCCTAATATCGATGTGTAATCGACCATTGTTAGTTAGACAATGCCCTAATATCGATAAGTCAAGATATGCATTTATTAAAGTTGTAGCTAAATTGACCATTCACATAAGTAACCGAAAAGTTATATACCTGAAATGCTACTTGGACACAAGATCATTCGAGCTTTTACAAAAAAAAATCAAAAGAGGGTGAAACAAGTCACCACATACGCTCATTCAGTTTGATCGTCTCATGCCCTACTAAACTGAATTTATATACCTAAATTGCAGATGGTTCGAGATTTTTACAAAAATACAAAAGAGGGTAAAACAAGTAACCACAAAAGCTCATTTAGTTTGATCATCGCATACTCTACTAATCTCATTAGGCTACTGAAGTTGTCTACCATTTACATCTTAATCATCCAAATTCTATAGCTGAGATGCTAGTTGGGTAGAAGGTCATTGAGTGACATCAACTTCTGTTAGTTGAGAGCCGACTCTTGTTGTACATGGTAACGATGTAATTGCACGTATTTGCGCCCCTAGTTCTTATCCGTTTGAGGGGCATAGTCGTGTGTTTTTGGCCTATTTTATGCCGGGTTGTGCTATTTTGTCATGTTTCAGGTCCCAGGTGTAAAAGGGAAGGCTAAGCACGAGTTTCGGGGCATTCGGAAGTCATTTCGGTGAAGCTGAGCCAAAACACGGGCACACCTAAACCAGAACATGGCCGTGTTCTGAGACCGTGCTTTTACTGCCGAGAGCTGATTCGAGTTTTAGAGAGAGAGATCAGTTCCTAGAGAGAGAAAGCGACGAACAAGAGTCTCCAAGCGCCCTAGCTTGATCTTCAACACCATTGGAGGCCAGTTTGAGCTTGGAGAAGTGCCGATCAACATCCAGGAGCAGGAATCTATCCTTCACAGTATGAATTCCGCGTCTGATTCTGCTTTTGCTTCTTTCTCCATGGAGTAGTTCTCCCATTCATCTGGGTATGGAGAACCCTAGATTTGTATGTTAGGCTTTGATTGTATGAACCCAAGTACTGATTCTATGATTTGATTATATTCGATTGAGGTTTGAATGACTTGAATACTGATCAAATTCCTGTTGTTTCTGCTTTGACCTAGAATGAGAATATCTGCCTAGGTTGATAGAGCATCCTTGATTGAAGGTAGGGAGTTGGTGACTTTAGTCGAGGAGCCAACTCACTATTCTGTACCGGATTTACTTTGGTAGATGAGGTTTTGTTCGTTAAGGCCTCAATCTGTTTACTTCGGTGGAGGTTAGTCGCCCGCTAGAGACTCAGATTGGGAGGGTCTGAAGACCTTTAGTCGAGACTTCAGGCTGTTTAAGAACCTTCCGCAGTATAACTATCATAGAAACTGAACTTGGTAATTACAATCCGGCTTAACTGCAGTCTAGGGGGAACCATATCCGGGTGACCTCTCTTAACCTGAATACAACAGTTTACTTGCTTTGTTTGTTTGGTAGTTTAAACTTGCATTCCAGTTTCATTGTTAGATAACAAGAATTCAGTGAGTAGTCATCAAATCTAGGACCCGGGTTGATAATTAAACCTAAACCCGCTATACTACGCTTTAGGAAGTGGTTACACTTGGCCAATTCCTGGAGTGACAGTAGAAGTGAGTCAGTACGCTTACCAACTGAACCTTCAAGTTGAGAGTATACTGCTTCTCCGCCTAGAGCATCTCTCACTTCTCTATCAACCACCAGATTTATGTGCAAAGGTTGAACTTGTTAATCTTTCTCCGGGTAGCTCCTAGCATTATGGGTCATGGACTTGCATACAGAACAATGCAAAACCCTCTATCGAAATTCAAACAAACAAATACATGAACAAGCTAAGGATGCAAAACCCTCTGCCCAAATTCAAACAAACAAATTCACGAACAAACCAAAATTAGTTTTACATTAGGTCTTGTTGAGCCTCCACCTTGTTGCACTCTCCCTCTTGCTTCCCTCTAATCAGACACAACAACTTGAGGGTTGGGGCAACTCCTAGCATTATGGCTAGCAACCTCATAGTTGGTGCAGTGCATGACCATTCCACTTCTTCTGACTGATGTACCAGAATAGACTCCACTCTTGTTCATTCTCACCTCTAGTTCACCTGGCTCCTTTCTCCTTTTCTTTTTTGGTCGACACGGCATTGCTTTGAAAATCGGTGGGTAAATAAGATACCCATTATCTTGAGGCCAAGTCGGCTATCCTATTACACATGGAATGCCACTAGTGTAACACTTTCTAACAGTGGATACTAAGTAGCACGATTCGACATAGTCTTCCAACTTTTTCCCCATCAATCCTATAGCTAACAATGCATGGCAGCAAGTAAGGTCGCTCAAGTCCCATGCCCCCACATGCAACAACGACTCTGGAGGTTGACAACATATGATGCACTTCCTCTCCATCTAGGAATTAGAAAGGGCATGGTGGGGGAGAGAGGGAAAGGTTTGGGGGAAAGTAACCATCTTGGGCTATGCACCGGCATGGTCGGGAAAAGAGGGAAAGGGGATGGCTATGGAGGGCCCATCATCGCTACCCCAGCAATAGCATACGGCGACGAAAGTAGCCCCTGGTACTGGTGCTGCAGACAGTCAATGGAGAAGAGGACCAGAAGAAGCTATTGTCGCCGCCCTCATCCAATCCGCCGGTTTCCCTCTTCTCCACCCTCTCCTATTCTTTTTCCTTCAACAGAAACATCACCATTGCGAGGAACATCATCTCCGCCGCTGGCTGCCGCTGATCTACCTTGATTCATCCTCTATTTTCAGACACTCTGTCGTCAATGCAACTAACGAATCTACTCAGCTCCCAATTCTTCCTTCATTGCTGATCCCAATCCCCCTCTAATCTGACTGAGCAACGACAAAGCGCTACCTTCAACTCCCTCCTCGTTGTAGCCTTCGCTATTCCGGTAGACGACAGGTTAAGGAGAAGCAGATTCGTCATTCGCTTGGGCTAGGGATTTTTTCCAGTGAGATAAATTAGAGGAAGAAGAACCCAGAAGAAGGCTCGTGTGTCCTTGAACAATTGGTTATCCCTAGCTCGCTCCAGCATTTGACTTCGACACCGACACACTGGGGTTGGAGGTTTTCTTATTTATTGACAAATAATACGACTAACTGTGAATAAAAATATTAATATATATAATGTTAAATACAGTTTACTGTTGCCTAAGATTTTATTACTCTGCACAGCTGTTAATTATTTCATATGACTAACCAACTATTTAATGACAGTTGGCAAAGTGGGAAATGGAGGCCGTTAAGCTTTCACAGGATTTTTCCATGGATGACATGATGAAATCTCATGTCGCCAGCTTCTTCATGGATCAAATTGATGTGAAAACACTTATCACCCATTCGTTTCTTTTTTCCTATTTTTCTTTCTTTTATACTAATTGATTGAGAATATAATTAATTAGTTGGGAAAACCTGTTAATCTCAAACCCGTAGTAATGCACAGGCGAACATATTTTTAATATGTACGTGAAGTCGGATTAATGTGGCAGGTCGGTACGGGTATCTCGATACCCATACACGCTTCGTGGTAGGTTGTGTAATTATTACGGGGCGTAGGTTGACCTATATGAGTGTAATTTCAACGCAATATTTTAAAAATATTCATTTATCCTACAAAAAAAAACTATAACGTGATTAATGCTGTTAAATTATTCGTGAAATTGAGCTTCTCACCTATTTACAATATTAATACAACTAAAATATTATGTAATAAAGTAAAAGAATAAGTAATTTGAGTAAAATCACATGTGATTTAAGCAAGAAACGGGTAAAAAATGGGGAGGGTCAGGACAGGTCAGGTTTAGGACACTACCCATGCTCGCCCTGCCCAAAACCTGGTTGGGTAAAATGGGTAAAATCGAAATTGCCATAATTAACGTGAAGTATCTAACAAATGAAAAAGGTTATACATCTCAACGTACAACAATTCATGTATCAAACACATTTTTCTACTAACTATGCCTTTCTAAAATAGTATGACTAAAATGGTAAAACTAAAAAATAAAAAATTATAATGATTATTGTTATTGAAACAAACATATTTATTATTACTGTGTCAACAACCAATAATTGCACAATCTCTTAGGATTTGCACCATAGCGCGCGGGTCCATTCTAGTATATAAGTAAACCAATACAATCGTAAACTAATCTTAATTCTACTCAACGACTTGGTGATCACCTCCTCGTTTCTACATAAACAAGTAAACTCATACAATCTTCCTCATTTCTCATTAATCCACACACTTATTCAATAATAATAATAATAATAATAATAATAATAATAATAATAAAGCTATGCAACAGTACGGACTAAAGGTCCTGATGGTGACGACTATATATAGTGATTTCTTGACAAGTTTCATTTATTTCTCTCACTTTCGATACTTCCAATTCAGATTGTACACTCAATTGATCAATCCTCCATCACAAGTAACTTTCATCATTTTTAAATGCTCCTGTGTACACCTAAAATTATTTTTACCCTAAACCATATTATTGCGGCGTCGTGAGGTTAACGACGCCGCGAGAAAAAATAGTATCGACGTGGGAAGCGATTTCGTGACGGCGTTGCGTGTTCAAAGGTGCCGCAAGGTCAGCGGCGTTCAACAACGTTGCGGATCCAATGACTTCGCGAGAAATTTTGACAACGTTGTGGAGTTTCGTGAGGCCACGAGCTCACCGACGTCGCAATCCCCATGACCTTGTGAGTTGAATAATGTCGCGGAGCTCAACGAGGTCGTAAGGTTCGCGACGACATTGTGAGTTTAACGGCATCGCGGTTAGTAACCACGATGCTGATCTCCATAATGTCGCGATGTTGGTGATGCTACGAGCCCAACAATGATGTGGAGTCAAAACAGTGACGTTATTGATTAACAACATCGTCATGGGTCTTGCAACTGCGTGGTTTCAAGCAAAGAATTTTTATTAAGGCGAACTCCGCAATTCAATGATGCAACAACGTCACAGTTCGAACCGTGATACTGATCCTGGGGCTTGAGCTCTGACGTGGAGGGAATTGGAGAGTAGAGAAGCAGAGTCGTTGAAGAATACAACTTTGCAATGATGGCATTTTTCTTTCACGTGAGATTACGCAAATCAGAGTGGAGATATAAGCAAGGTGGTTATGAGTCGGTTCCACGGAGAAGTTACATGGAGACTACGAAGATGATTTGAGATAAAATCATAAGAGAAAGGAGAGAGGGGTGAACCAAAATAAATTAACACAGAACAACTCTGTCAAAACTTTACCTTCTCTCTATAACTCCCTTGCAAATCTCTCCTTCAAGGAAGGATCTCCATAGCTGTAGTCGTAGCGTAGTCGCGGAGCTCTCCACATGATTCTCCATAGGAGTAGTCATAACGTAGATTCCCCGAAAAACACAAACACCCTCGTTCGAACATTGTTTGGAGAGGTGTGAACCGAGTAACAATCGTCTTGGTTTTCAAAAGTCAGAGGTCCATCGATGAATCAGCACAGTCGGTGGATATTTGACGGTCTTCTTGATTTCAGCAGTTCGTGGTACATCAGATCAAACGACACCGCAAAAGTTTCCACCGCGAAACAATCAAATCAAAATCGCCCAAAAAAAAATTGGCACGGGCGGCGGTGGATATTTAGTTTCATGCAAAACAATTTGGCACACCTTGTGGGACACGTGTATTTGATGTGAATATGGTTCCGCGACGTTGAAAATAAGATTTTGGTCTTCCACAAGGCTGCGTGGAGGAGGATCAAATGGTCAACATAGAGGTTGACAACGATGTAGATGCTCCAATTAACGACGACGGACTGAAGGTGTAATCAGTTGCACAAACCAGGAATCAGGGTGAGATGTTGCGCATTCTTTACCAAGTAGTGGCTGATGTGGGTGGACTCAGCTGAGATAACCAACAAGTAAACCTCATTTTTAACATCTCTTGACAAGTAAATGAATAAATTTGAAAAAAATATAAATCAATGGTGAGATAAATTCTTCGAGTTTGTTTCTGATTTTAATATTTCAAAAGGGAAAGCCACGTGTGATTTAGAAAACCAATCACGTGTGAGTAGCGAGCATGTGTGTTATCCACCAATTTCTATGGATCGACTGCTTCTGCAATGTTGTGACCAAAGAAATGGTCAATCTAGCATTGTTCATATCAATATTGAACAATCCAACTTTCATTGTACGGCTGGTAGTGAACTTAAGGGAGCCAACTGATAACTAATCAATAGTGATGGACCAGTTAGTGTCAATCAAACTGGTCCATCGCCAATTATAGCTATGAAAGTGTTGCCAGAAGTGAGCAAACCCAATGTGTCTTTTTAGGTGAACAACATTGTTTTTAAGGACACACAAAACGGAGTGAATTCTTGTTATCTAGCAATGAAACTTTAATGCAAGTCTAAACTAACAAACTAACAAAGCAAGTAAACTGTTGTATTCAATTTAAGAGAGGTCACCCAGATATGGTTCCCCCTAGACTGCAGTTAAGCCGGATTGTAATTACCAAGTTCAGTTTCTATGATAGTTATACTGCGGAAGGTTCTTAAACAGCCTGAAGTCTCGACTAAAGGTCTTCATACCCTCTCAATCTGAGTCTCTAGCGGGCGACTAACCTCCACCGGAGTAAACAGATTGAGGCCCTATAAACAAAACCTCCACTACCGGAGTAAATCCGGTACAGAATAGTGAGTTGGCTCCTCGACTAAAGTCACCAACTCCCTACCTTCAATCAAGGATGCTCTATCAACCTAGGCAGATATTCTCATTCTAGGTTAAAGCAGAAACAACAGGAATTTGATCAGGATTCATGCCATTCAATCATTCAAACCTCAATCGAATATAATCAAATCATAGAATCAGTACTTGGGTTCATACAATCAAAGCCTAACATACAAATCTAGGGTTCTCCATACCCAGATGAATGGGAGAACTACTCCATGGAGAAAGAAGCAAAAGCAGAATCAAACGCGGAATTCATACTATGAAGGATGGATTCCTGCTCCTGGATGTTGATCGATACTTCTCCAAGCTCAAACTGGCCTCCAATGGTGATGAAGATCAAGCTAGGGCACTTGGAGACTCTTGTTCGTCGCTTTCTCTCTCTAGGAATTGTTCTGTCTCTCTAAAACTCGAATCCCCTCGACTTGTGGCTGAAAATCTGCTTAAAAGCAGAAAATCCCGACTCACACGGGCTGGCCGCACGGCCGTGTGGCTCACCCAGTTGCCCGTGCGAGTCAAAACGCAGCGCATCAATTAGTTGAATTCCAGGCTTCTAGCACGGCCAGGGTCGCACGGCCGTGTGAAATTTCCATCCTGCCCGTGTTTGCTCTCGCAGAATTCCACACGGCCAAAATGCATCCTCACACGGCCCTGTGAAATTTTCTGCTCTGCCCGTGTTTGCCCTCGCACAATCCCACACGGCCAAACTGGTCTCTTGCACAGCCGTGTGGGTTGTGGGTGTGCCCGTGCGACCTCCTTTGTGACTTGTCTCGCGCCCGATCTTCGCCCAATCGACCCCGAACTTGCTCCTAAACCTTCATTCACTTGCCAGGACCTGAAATGTCACAAACAAGCATAACCTAGTGATAGACCATTAATTACACATGTTTTCACCCCTGTTCTTACACCGTTTGAGATGTGGTTTCTCGTGTTTTAGACAGATTTCACGCTAGGTTGTGCTTGTTTGTGATATTTCAGGTCCTGGCAAGTGAATGATGGTTTAGAGCGAGTTCGGGGTGGA